TTGCCAACAAGTATCAGGTTGATCTCCCTCAGACATGATACCATACTGAGCTTCTACACTGGTTTTTATTGTGAATAAATGAACAACAGCAGCAGTAGCTTTCAACTTTTGTGATTGTGTATGTGCTTTGGGGCCATGCTCAGCCTCCATCTCTGTCACCGCTGTCTCTCTGTTCTTAAGCTCATTGCAGAAGCCATCAGTGGTCATTGATAGAGTCTGGTGGATATTAATAACTGACTCGTACTCTCCATTTGATTACTCAGTGTTTCTTCTGAAATGGATGCTGTCTGGTAGATGAGAACATCCAATACAAGGACCAAACCCTCACATATTGTACCCTGTCATGGCTGCATCCATGAGTTCTCTGTGAGACTTCCTTGTCCTTCATGTTCCTTGAGCCACTTCTTTATATATACACAAAGTGTACTGCCAAGGGCAGTACCTGAAGCTGTGCCTCTGTAGGATTTTCCAGGGACCACTTATATTTAAAGGATTTAAAGCACCCATCAATGAGGTTATAAGGCATAAGTAGCCCAGTTGGCACTTGGAATCACAAATCAAGCCAATTCATCAATGAATAAAGTTCAGATATTTTTCTTCCTCCATCGGACAGTAAAAGTTCCCCTTATGAGGTTACATGTATGAGTTATTCTAAAGATGACTGTGTAATAGAGAGTAGTAAGTGACATCAGTTTCAGGGTCATCTGTTCATATGAGGCAGAGGGTATGAGAAAATTTTGAATGTACATTTTCACTTTATAGTGAATTTCTTTTGGACCCCTCCAAATTTATATCAAAAAGTATCTAGCCTGTGACAGTTAGTTCTAGATATAAAGTTAATTGAGAGCCTCTGGGGGTGCTAAATAGCATATCAAGAGCTATTTATACTGGTACTTCCTTCTTTCTGAAAGACTGCACGGCCCCGCTCCAGAACCCTAGGGATATGTCCTGTGGCTCTCCGGTTGGAGATTTCCATACACCTAACTTGCCCTTTCTGTACTGGATGCATCTCTCCTGCATGCAATCTGCTAACTTATACTCCTATTCTTGCTCTACATCCCGATCTCTTTCTAAGTCTCACTCAAAACTAGAAGCTTTATGTGTCACTCAGTGAATGAAATCAGAACAATGTTTCCCAAAATAGAATGTGTTACTTTGAGAATATGAACAGACCCTGCCAAACACAGTTCAGCTTTCCTACGGGTAGAAGGGCAAGATGCAACAGCTTGTCCTTTACTTTGGATGAGAGATCCTGACTTGCTTCAGTCCACTGGACCCCTAAGTATTTGATGTGTTTGGTAGGCACTTGAATCCTACCAAACACATCCTCTCACTCTGTGGAATTCATGTATCAAACTTAGCCGGAACACATGACACTTCTTGTTCATCAAGTTCTTATCGTTTATTGCATGCTATCATTGATAGAGTGAACTAATGTAATGTTCTTTGGAAAGTCCAAATGGTCTATTTACCTTTTGACAGTACTGTGACACATAGAAGAAAAATTAATATTGCCCTAGAGCAAGACCAGAAATGTGATTGTCACTGATACTCTATGATGGGAAATGTCCCTAACTCTACTTCATGATGGATATTGAAAAAAATGCACTCACTTAGCCAAAGATTATGTACTTGAAGCTTTTCAGGAGCCAAGCTAATAAATTGAATGACTAGAAGTGGGGATCATTACTTCTGTATTTTAAAGACTTTAATCTCTGTCATACCCTTTACATGCAATATTGATTTTTAATTTAGCATCTTTCCTGAAGTAGTCTGCTTCAGGGAGTTGTATTTAGCCTGTTTCACTGCAATAGATATTACTGGTCAAAGAGCTCTTTCAGCTGCTAAGTCTGGCCATGTCAATTATACATTTAGAAACCAGTGAAGAAATGGGCTATTGGCCCCTTGACCTCTATATACTCCATACTCTAACCCAGAGCCCATTATATTTTCAGCTGTTCCCAGGAGTCATGGACTATTTGTACCCTGTATCCAATTTCCCTTAAAAGATTCATACACTCCACACCCCTGTGTTGTGATTACCCATGTGAATAGTTATAGGTTCCTTCAGAAGGACTGAGGGAATTGCCTGTACCTAATCTCAGGGTGGTGCTGAAATCTTCCTCATGGAAAATTGCCTCTTCTTGAGACTTAGACCTAAAAACTCAGCAGGATATTGTGACTTCCTTTTAAAACAGCTGATCTCAGCCTTCTGCATATCCGTTTTCATCCCCTTTTAATATATAGTTTATGTGTATGTGTGTGTGTGTACACATGCATGCATGTGTGTATGTGTGAGGATGAATGCATATGCAGCACATATATTCTTATTGGCTTCGTATTATCTCACCTCCAGGAATAACATGTTCTATTGACAATCTCACAAGAGCCAAATGATAGACACCCTTGCCCCAGGTTGCCATTCTAATCTTGGGGCCATTCCAGTAATTCTGACTACCCTGCTTATGACTGTTAAATGCTGCTCTCTGGCCTTTACCATTCCAGAATTCCTTCATCCACCTTACTCATACATAGTTCTTATCCATTATAGCACCTCTCCCTACAGTTCCAGTCCCCAGAAGACAGCTCCACGTGCTTTTCACGGAGGTCAGTGGCCCTTTCATCAGCTCATTCCTTATTGCTTTGGTAGTGTTCTCTTGAGGGCCCACCAAGGTGCATAATAAGCTGAAAGGATTCCTGGCTTTATATCTTACCGTGTTAAGCATTTTTCCTTCTTGTTTAACCCTTTAGATCCCTTCCTCCACAGTCTGACACAGCAGTCCTGACACTTCTGTATCACTGAGTGTGGGAATCTCTTCTCTGGTTCTTCTTCCAAGGGGAGCCACCGAAGCGGCATATTGGACCTGTTTTCCAGGACTCTGGCTGAGCCATCAATTCCAGTGGCATACAAGCCATTTGGTATATTTAGCCTATAGACATTAATCCCTTTCTTACCTAGTGTGATATTCTGTCTTCACTCCCTTAGATCCCTTTGAGATCTACTCCCAGCCCTTGTGTCCTGATTCCTAAATGCTTCCTGCCTTTAGCTGACTCAGCTACTCCACAGTTCATTATACTGAGATTGACCTTCATAATAGCTTGGTGGCCAGGAGGAAAAGTTGGGAGGCACCCTGTTAAAGACAAGCATTGTTTTATAAGACACCTGTCTCAGGTGAAACCTCTGGAAAGTCTTCAGGCATGCTGGCTTATAAGCCTGTGTCCAGCAGCAAGTGGAAGGGCACTCTTTCAGGCTCCGAAATCTCAGATGAACCTAGGGATTCAAGTTGCCCAAGTGAATTTTGCTTTGAAGTTTTGCCAAGCCTGCGATTTTCATTTTCTCTCAAACTCTACCACCCTTCCAAATCTGACCTGCATCTGGTTTTCAACACTTTCTGTCCTCTGATTACAGATAACCAGTGTTTACTTCAGTGCTACAAAAGAGCCCCACTCTCACCTTTGTTTTGAATTGTGAATGGATTTGGTCTATTCCTCTCCTCTGTGTGTCGATGGCACTTAGCTGCCGCTGTCCTCCACACCTCTCCCACACTGGAAACATTGCACCAGTTGTCTTTACCTGTAGCTACTGTGGACACCGATGTTCATGGAATTATTGTCCATACTGCACCTGGGCACATGTGATTTTAAAATCCAGAAATGTCTGCCTTTTCCCCTTCTTAGAGGTAGAATTATCTTTCCTACAGTGAACATATCTCAATGCAGTCAAATTCAAGTCATATGGCATAACAAAGGACTTTCAAGCTGGTTGCTAAAACTTTGAAAACATGGTGTTTCTGGGGTATATTAGTGGCTCATGGGGACTATGCCAGATATTTGCAATAGAGATTTGTGGTAAGCAGCATGACCTGGGTCTATGTTGTAAAGGGGAAGAAAGGACAAAGGACAATTATGATTACCCATAATTATTGGTTTAGATTATTACAGTTCAGATCAATTGAGATTATCCTGAATTCTCCAGGTGGGGGCCACTGCAATCACAAGAAGAGTCAGTCTGGAGAAAATGTCACTATGAAAAAAAAGACACAGCAGGATAAGATCACTGACTTTGAGGATGGGGGGGGATGTGAGTGACCTCTGGAAGATCCAGAAGCTAAAGAAATGAATTCCCTCTACAGCAGTCCTGACAATACCTTGATTTTAATCCAAGGAAAACTACATCAGACTTCTGACTCCAGAATGGTAAGATTACAAAATCTGTGTAAGCAGCTAGATTTGGGGTCATCTTCCACAGGAAGACTAGGGGACTATTACAGAGTGTTGTAAAAATAAGGAATACACTTTACCTAGGCCTTCTGCTAATCCCTTTACTTTAAAAAAATTTATTTTGTTTCTGTAGGGCAGCCTACAAATATTTGGTGTTGGTAGGATGGAATATAAAGATAGTAGAGTTCACCACAAAGGTTGAGAACTGGAAAAGAAGGAGATAAAGCCTCTTTGTGTAAACAGTAAGCAAGGAGGTGTGCGTTAAATCCCAATGTGGGCCAACTTTGTTTGATCAGTGGATCCAGAATAAAATCACTTTGTTTGGCTATTCTGACATTTTCTTTGTTAATTTTTCACATAAAGATCTTATGTAATTTATGAGACTTGTGTGCAACCAGTTGTAACTTTCAAAATCTACAACTTTGTAAAATTCTCTAAACAAAATGTGTATGCCTAGCAATGATAAAAGGTAATATAATGAGCAAGTCAAATTTTATAAGCCACTAGCAATTTTTTAAAACTGTAAATATCATAGGACCAATGACTCTTCAAACTGAGAGCCACTGGAGAAGACCACAACAGTTACTACTGAAATGAATTCCTAATATAATCAGATCACTTATAAAAATAAAATCGTCTGGAATCTATTATTTTTGTGTCTGCCACCAGAGGGCACTACAACCTTGTAGAAGGCCAAAGCACAGCCATTAAACTCTTTCCTGTGAAAAGGTTTTGGGTTTTTGGTTTTTGTAGGGCAGAAAATAAACACCAATAGTACATTTCACATTTTTCCATGTCATTTTACTAGATACATTTTCTTTTGTTTTTATTTTTATCTTACAAGTCCACTTCAAAAACATAAAGCAGGAGAAATGAGCCATGCCTTTTTTTTCAGGATAGTAACAGGGTAGATGACAAAGAATAAAAGCACAGTGGAATTTAAGACATCATTTCCACATTAACACCTTGCCCCAAACATCATGCAGTATTAAGTCACATCCCATCATGCAATGATATTAAAACATGTGATGTAAACCCCTGCTTTTTATTATAGGGTTTTATTATAGGGTGTTTATTACAGGGTATTTATTATAGGGTGTTATAGGTGTCTCCATGGACTAGAGGGAAAGGAATATCGATACAGGTGATTAAGTTTCCTCATAGGAAGAGAAATGTAAAACATCTTTAACATTTCTGATGTAGTAGTGTGGCCATATGAGAAAGAATAAAGCTGTTCCTAAGAGGCAAAGAAATTGTTCCTTCCAGCTCACGTTCCTCCATCTCATTCACTGAGATAGGCAGCCCGTTTCATGGGGGTTGTAAAAAATCTAGTTTAAGGGGCTTTTATTTGTAATTTTTCATAACAGAACCATAGGCAGGCAGTCTCCTCCTCTTGCTAAGTTTAGATTTCTCTTGTGAGAAAAACATATAATAACATTGGGAGGGAAATAATTGGGAAAACATCCATTAGACTGAAGAAGAGACATATCCTAAAACTTTACTTGGATATGCAGCTTTTCAATATAAAGTGACATTTGGATAGTAAGTGCTTAGGTCATTTACTAAATTATGTGTGGCTCTATCAAAATATTGCCTTTCTTTCCTACAAAGAGGTATGTGTCCATAAATTTCAATATGGCTTGAATTGATATAGCACCTTTCCTCAAAAGATTGATACTTTTCCTTTAATCTGTTTCATCTCCTCAACATTGGGAGTTAAAGTCTCCTTGAGGAAATCATCCTAATTATATGGGAAGAGATTGAGACAGGAAAGTGAGAGGACTAACCCTTAATCACTAAATTGGGTCTCTGACATCTGACATGATGCACCTTGGAAAGAAGACAAAATAAACACTCCATTCCATTCAAGATGCCCTCTTTCATCTGAGGTCCCCACAGCACTAACAAGGCATCTAACTTACAGAAAGAGATGGTCACAGACAGCCCAACAGCAGGTGAGAGCTGGACTTTCAGACAGACTAGTGGTCCCAACAGAGAAGCCCCTTAGGGCGCAGGTGGCTGGTTTAGCAAAACCCACCAAGGGTCAGCTCACATATCGTAAGCCCCAGTGTAATAGACAGCAGGATCCAAATCATGTTCTACTCCATAACTGGCTCTGCTCCGGCAGAAATTTTGCAAGAACAGCCTAGGCCGGGAGGGACTGAGTCCTGAGGTGGAGCTCAAATTCCAGCTCCACCACTTAGAGCTCTGGACCAGGCACTTCACTGTACTGGTAATCCGCAATCATCTCACTGAGATCACAGGGCAGTCAGAGGAGTAGGGTTGGGATGAGAGAGGAGGGAAAGAATAGACCACACCAATTTGCAAACTACAAAGTGCTGTGCAAATAGAAGGCATGGGTTCGCGCTGACTCCAAACACCATCTCTTAGGCCTCCTACAGTCGTCGTAATTGTAGGCTTAGCATTCCCTCTAGGACTTTGATCCTCTTCTGAGATTTGAGCTTATTGTGGGTAAAAGTAGGGATTCTTAAAAGCAACATGTTCACTTCAAATGCAAGATGGGTGTGAGAGTCAGTGCGTATTTGCACTTTACCGACAAGTGAGGCATTGTATCAGCCTCTAGTCTGAGTCTGCAGGCTAACTGGGTTTCCATTTCCTTTCTGGGTGGCCACAGTTCTGGGTTATTGCACAGCCAGGGATGCTATGGCTAGAGCAGTGGGCATAGGAATTTCCCATTAGACCCTGTGAACTACCCAAAGTCCATTTCAGAGGTGACCAGTCCTCAGCAGTAAGCTGGAAGTAATCCAGTTTTCTCAAAACGGTTTGGATTTTGAGAGTTTGGAGTGTCATGGAAAGTGTCCCACACACCTCTTAGCGGCCATAGCTAAGGCTGGAAACACACAGTTGCCGCCCCTGCTTCCTGAGAACCTAGCCCAAGTGCAATTATTTACGAAAGAGAAAACGCTGAGTGGCAGTGTGGTCTAAAAGACCAGGCTACAGCGTCGTATAATTCAGCGTAACTTTCTTTTGGAGATGTTCACCAAAGCAGAAATTTTCAGGTGAACTTTTCTCCGGTGAGTTTAAAAATAACTTTAAGGCCTACTCAAGTAATCTCATAGCTCATTTTGCCCTTAAATTTGAATGAGGGAGTTTCCATTAAAAGTTCATTTCAACAAATATTAATAAAAAGTCAAAGTTAAACACTTGAATGTATCCACAAGCCCTACTCAGAAGTGGAGCTCCTTAATTCAGGAAAAACTGTTTAGGGGTCTACAGGTTGGTGCTGTAAACCATATCAAAGAAGTGGAAGGACATCTTGTGTCATGCTTGACTTCTTTCATACAATCTTAACAATCTTTCTTAACAATCCATCTACACTGTGAATCCCAAACCATCAACATTCAGATAGCTGTTAATTGCAGAAAGTATCAGTGATATTTTCTAGAGCAAAGAGGTTAAAACATTGACCTTCAGGGCATCATCTAATCCGAGTGGTTCATTTTCTTTAGGCTTCCCCGGGTGCAGAAGTGTCTGAATGTGTGCTAGGCCAAACTGACTGACCTAGTCACTCAGCAAACTTCTAGTATTACAATTTGCTTCCTGTTTTTTTTTCTTCATTTTGGGTTTTTCTTTCTTTTCTTCTTAATATTGTTTGTCTGTTTGTTTGTTTACAGAGTATGATGACTTCTTAGTAAAGCTTGGGGAAATAGACAACAACTATTTCCACCTAATTTGAAGATGTCATCCAGGCAGTCATTTCCATTTGAATGTCAAGCCACACTTTGATGGTATAAAATTTTATGTCAACAATTTACTAGCAGAAGGTAGGTTCAAAACAGATTCATGTGGGTTTTGGTTTGAAGTATAATGAGAAATCTGCATTCTGATTAGCAAGTAAAGGCTTTCAAGTTGCTTCTCTATGGACACTCTTAAGAATCCCCAAATTTCTATTAAATCTTTAGTCAAAATATTACATTGCTTATGTTTCATTTGGTCTAGGGTTTGGGGGCATAATGGTATAAAGCATAAAGTTAATCTAATGCAAGACATAACCTAAGGTGAAACTTATGAGAATGACTTACAACAGATACAGGAATTTAAGAGCTCTGGAGGGAGAGAGAGAGAGACAGAAAGACAAAGAGAGAGGCAGAGAGAGAGAGAGAGAAAGGTGCCCCATAAAATCAAAAATTACCAGTACATGCCCCCATTATTTTTGTCACAAAATTTCCTGAGCATTCCTCATTCATTATAGTGCAACATAACTCCAATAAATCAATAGTATTTTTTCTCAAGCAAAATAGGTATATACTTCTAGAATATATGTACAGAACAAAACATATAATAGTATATCATGTTTCAAAACACTAGTAATTTTAACTTCTATAAATATATTTAAATAAGAAACATAGAATAGCTATTCACATAGCACACAAAGTGACATACAAAAATAAAACAATCGTGTTTATTTAACTCTTTTGTTGCTTTGATTGCATTGGGTTTTTTCTTCCACAAATAATGAGACTGAAGCAATTCAGAAGCCAGAATCATCTTGTCAATATTCATCCCAGAAAAACTGGCTATAATTTCATACTGTGTATGGACACCGCAGCCACGGTCAAAAGCCACAAAACTTTCCTTGCTGGGCTTATTTCTGTCTCTTGCCTTTGTTCAGGAAAGCTAAGTGGGGTGGGCAGAGGTCTCTAACTTTAATGAGCTACTTTTTTCCTAGTTGTTGTGAGATAAAGGAACGTTAGTCAGATCACCTGACCAGGGCAGAGTGTGAAGATACCAAGTTGCCCTCTTTCTGAGTGGATTACAGAGTTCACCTCCTCCCCAGGTACTTCCATCCACCACGCTCTATAAAGTATTTCTCAATAAGTGATAGACTCAGCCATTCTGCACCAGAGGCAAACACTATTTGTTCTGCCATATCAACAGGTAACCTGTTCCAGCTGCCGCTCCCTCCACTCACAGGGGAACTCTGCAGCCCACCAGGTGGCTGTATACATGCTTCTACTGGAGAATGGAATGCTTCTGTGAAATAATGTCATAGTTATATCCCTAGTAAAACTGGATGGTCCACAGCATATTTTAATTTTCTTGAAAGCAAGGGGCAGAAGACAGATTTCTCATATCCACCTGGAGCCGTGCATCATTCAGAGCTCCCATGAGGAACGTGAAATCATGGATCCTCAAAGGAACTCAATCCTTGCCATCCTAAGGACTGTGACACAGGTAGAACTAAGGGTTCTGCTGCATTTGGTTATGATTTTCACCCAAGCTGCATCTTTAGATGGGGGAGCTGATACTCAAAGAACTTCAGTTTTCCTTATAAGGAAAAGTGTAAGCTCTTGGCATCATCTTGTAGAGTTGCTTGCAGTAAAATATGAGAGGAGAGAGTCCCGGCTCTTTCTCAAATAGAACTGTCAGCGCAGACAGAAGAAGGGTCTTTTTTGAGTTCCTGGGGGCTGCCCTCTGGGGCAGGTGGGGCATGCTGCTGCTGATAGATGTCCTGGATGAGCAGGGTGTTCATGACCTTCCATTCTCTGTATTTCCGGGCTGTCAGTTTTGGATCATCCAGCAACTGGTTAATCATGGCCAAATCATGTTCTTTACACTGTCCAAGTAGAAGAGAAGGAGGCTAACGTGAGTATCGTAATCTAAATAATACATATTCATCAGCACTTTCACAAATACACATTCATCATAAATTCATCAAAGTGTTTTGCACCTTAATATTTTAATCCCTACATCAAACCTATGAGATGTGGCAGGACATCTCATTATCCCATTACAGTTCCTAACTGCATTGATGTTAAATACCCAACCCAAGAGTTCCTAAAGAATTATACATAGAGCCAAAGTCATGTTCTATGTTGCACCTCATAATTCAGCCATTATTCCACACCACGGAAATGACTGTCTTGGTGTGAGCATTACTATATACCTTTTCTTTT